GCCTATTTAATAAATGGTATTGGAAAACTGGATTTCAACCTGCCAAAGATTAAAACTAGACCCATATCTACCTCTATGCACTAAACTTAAAGCAAAGTGGATTAAAGATCTGAATATTAAAACAGAAACACTAAACTTGCTGGAAAATAAGGTAGGTAGAAGTCTTGAAGACATTGGCATAGGAAAAGACTTTCTGAACAAATCCTGAGTAGCACAGGAACCGGCAGAAAGAATCAACTGGGATCTCATCTTTTTAAAAAGCTTCTGCACTGCAGGAGAATTGTTGGTGGGAGTGCAGACTGATACAAGCACTGTGGAAATCAATATGGAGATACCTCAAAAAATTAGGATTAGAGGTCCCATTTGACCCAGATATTCCACTAATGGTTATCTTCCCAAAAGAATTAAAAGAATCATACCACAGTGGTATATGTGCACTCATGTTTATAGTGGCACAGTTTGTAATAGCTGCATCTTGGAAACAGCCCAGGTGCCCAACAGTTGGAGACTGGATAAAGAAGATGTGGGTTTTTCTAATAAAATGAAATACTACTCAGCCACAAAGAATGAGAAATTAGAAAGGATCAAAATGTATAATTGATATCGTGTAATAGAAAAGGTCTAAAGGTGTGAGTAAGGGAAGTGGGAGGGATACGGGAAAGGTTAGAAGGGAAAAGAAAAAAATATGAGAAGAGGAAAATAATGGAAACAAAGTCTTTGTAAATAGGGAATGGTGGAGGGGGTGAAGGGAGGGCAAGGGAATGGGGAAAAAATAAGAACCAGGATATGTCACGTAAAGGTCCAAGATCCCAATGATGAATGTAACTGTGTTGTACACCTAAAATGTACCAATAAAAAAAATTAGAAATTAGAGACATTTATAGCTAAATGGATACACACTGAGGGCATACTCAAGTGAAATAAATAGGACACATGTAAATACTGAATAGTTTCTCTGGTATGAGAAACTGAAAGTGTAAATAAGAATTAAAATGAGTAACTGATAATGTGAAATAGGAAGAAAAGGTCCAAAGGGGTAGGGGAAATGGGAGGGGTCGAGCAAAGGAAAAAATAAGAGATAAGAAATAAATGGAAATAAAGCCTTTGCAAATAGGGCGGTGTGGAGGAGTTGAAGGGAAGGCAGGGGAATAGGGAAAATATAAGAACAATGATACATCATGTAAAGGTTCAAATTCCCAATGATGAATGTAAAGGTACTGTACACCTAAAATGTACCAATAAAAGAATTTAAGAGGAGAAAAGAACAGAAAGCCACACAGGGAATTCATTGGAATGCTAATATCTGTAACAATCTTTGAAACCACAAAACACATATACTAAATAATGAATCACCTGACTTGGGACTACCTGATGGAGTGTTCCAAAGTTTCCATAGACTACAAATTTAGTTAACAGGAAAGGGAGGAACTGTAGCTTCCGCATGCCCGCTTTGAAAAGCAAAATCCTCAGAAAGCTTTTTAGCTTCCTGAACCATAAACAGAACCAAGCCTCCTGCTGATTCATTGTGCTAGGAAAGGTTCTGTTTCTCTAACATCACAGGTTTCCAAGAAACCAAGAGCTCACCATGCTTTCACTTTCCATACAAAAGGAAGCTAGTTTCAACCAGCCTGAATAGACACCAACAACCCCTCATTTGGGAGTGAAAATAGAGAAGGCCTGAGAGTTCTCATTTACTGCAAGATTACTCAGAAATGAAATTTAAGGATTATAAAAGGAGACATACATTAGCAAAAAATTTCGGTCCACTTTGGAAAACATAGAGCCATGAAGGAACCTAACCTGAATTTCTTGCAGCACACTTCTTTCAGGAAACTGCAAATCAACTTACTATCAGGACAACCAAGTAACAGGCAGCTATGAAACATACATTACACATTTTTAAACTGTACATACTGTTCCAGAAATAATGCAAATAATGACACCTATATCACAAGCACATGCAGAAGAAAAATTCATTAGTAACAGTTGTAATGTAACACACTGCTGCCAATAGTAAAAAATACCACAGGCATTTTACCTATCACACACACTAGGGCTTCTTTGTCTCAATGTAGCCAAGTATTGAGATGTAAATGGGGTGAAAACGACAGCGTAAATACGTGATCTTTCCCAAGAGGAATCAAAACTTGCCTATTAATGTGTGTCACTGCTGCCAGTCTCGGTGGAGCGGTGAAGGGAGGCTGAAAAGCCCAGTGAACACTGAGAGGCGGAGGAGAGACAGCAAATATCTCCTAAAGCAAATTTCATTATATGTCTCAAAAATCTTTCAAAAGAGCATAATCTTTAAGCCATATGTTCACTGCCATGGCTTTGATTCACTCAATCAGTGAATACTTACTGAAGGCTTGTACTGTCACAGGAGAGTGGGTGCCAGAATGGTTCATTAGTCCCGAGCAATGACCAGTTCCCCAACAGGGACTATGAGCATCTTATCTTGGTCTGGTAGTTTCCTAGCATCTTGGACTTTGAATGTAAAAAAAAAAAAAAAAAAAAAAACTCATCCGAGTCTTGTTTCTTAAAGATCTGTGTGTCACGTTTGTTTATAACCATGCCAGTCTCTGTTTTAGTTTCCTGACACTACTTTTTACAGTAAGTATGACCTCTCCCCTAACGGAAATGGTATGTGAACAGGAAAATGGTCACCTCATTTTAACTAACTTTATACTTAGACATCAAGATCCATTCAACCCTTCCTGGGTATCTTCCTGAAAGACTTAAAGACATAATATTGCAGTCATGCATCCATACCCACGTGTATAGCAGGACAATTTACAATTGCAAACTCTTGGAAGAAGAATCTATGCCCATTAACAAATAAATGGATAAAGAAAATGTGGTATTTAGACATAATGGAGTACTACTCTACCATGCAGAAGGATAAACTTGAGTCATTTGTAGGAAAATTGATGCACTTTAAAACATAATGTTAAGTGAAATAAATCGAACATGTAGCTTAAATATCATATGATTTATCTTATATGGAAACCCAAATGCAAATAAATTATAGAGCAAAATAAAAGATGATAAAATACAGAGAAATATATCTTTTGCAAAATGGAAGATTCAAGAGATGGAGCAAGGGGAAAGGAGGGAAGGGGGAAGGAATGAAACAGAATTAAGACGTGTTATGTACAAGTACCAACTTCCCACAAGGAGTGTAATCATCATGTACTGCAAACATCTACTAATAAAAATTTTAAAACTTCAAAAAACTCAGTATTGTGTGCCAGAAATTTTTCAAGAGAGTTGAAATGAAATTAATTACAAGACTTCCGCAGTCAGTCTCTGGTTCTTTATATGTATTCCCATGGGTTCAGGGTGACATCTGGTGTCATCTATTCCAACACAGCTCTGCTCCCACCTATGCTGTTAAATATATTACATTGCACCTGTTACATACCCTGCAATAAAATTACAATCACAATACATATACAATACATGTGTTTTTTAAATCAGTTCTGAGGAGTGAGTAAAAATATACATTTATGTTGTCTTTTTTACTTACATAATCCCTCTAATAGTAAGCTTTGCTTTTCTGTATGGATTTGCATTACCATCCAGGGTAATTTGCTTTCTGCCTGAAAGTCTTCTAACTAGTATTTCTTATGAAGTAGATCTACAAATAATACATTTTCTTCAAGTCTTTAAGTACAGCAGCTAAAGCCTGCCCTGACCCTTTGGGAAAGCTTTGGAGCTCTGTGCTGTCTTGGCACTGCCTTCTTCCCTAGAAAAAAAAATCTCTGTGCAACTGGCCCTTCCACTGGGTAAGGGTGGCTGCTGCTGGTCTTCCCCACCTGCCTCTGTCATCATGAAAACTGCAGGGGAGAAGGGAACCTGATGAACTGGTCAGGCCAGGCGTTCTCAGCCCACCATGCCTTGGCTGGCACCTGAGCACTGTGAGTGGGGCTGGGTCTGGGCTGAGAACACTTGACCTGGTCCACTCACCAGGAATTTAGTCTCTTACACTTGGAATTGGAAGGGCAAGAGACACTGGTGGCCTCGCACTCCAGTGCAGTATCATATCCCTGATTGAAGATGAAGGAAGTGTGAGCCACCTGCAGTGGAGCTTTAGTGAAATGGCTCGGTCCTGACACAAGTGCTAGACTTGCCGTTCATTCCAGAGCTGTAATGGATCTTCTGGAAGAAATGTTTCATTGTTTATGTATCTTTTGGGTCCATCTACCCATGTTTATAGCAGTATAGTTTGTCATAGTAAATCTTGGAAACAGCCTAAATGCCCATCAACCAATGAATGGACAAAAAAGATGTGTTTTTCAAATACAATGGAGTACTACTCTGCCGTAAAGAAGGATAAGCTTTAGACATTTGTAGATAAATGCATGCATCTTGACAACATACTCTGAAGCAAAATTAATTGAATATGTTTAGATATTGCATTGTTTCTCTAGTGTGAGAAACCAAAAGGTAAATAAGGACTAAAATGTATAATTAAATATTGTGAAATAGGAAGAAAATGTTCACAATGGGAAAGGGAACAGGGAGAAGGGAAAGGGAAAGGAAGAAAGGAAAAAAGAGAACAGAAGAAAAAATAGAAACCAAGCTTTCGTAGATAATGGGGGGTGGTGAAAGGAGAGGCAGCGATTGGGGGAAAAAGAAGAATCAAAACATATCATATACTGTTACAAACTCCCTATGATGAATGTGATCACTATATCTAAAAGGCACCAATAAAATTAATTTTAAAAATTAAACAGGGTTTTGGGATGTAGCTCAGTACAAAGGTGCTAGGTCTAATCCTCAGTACTATAGAAAGAAGGAAGAGGAGGAGGAGGAAAGGAGAAGGGGAGGGGAAGGTTGCTTAGATTTGCTTTACTCACAGCGCTATGATTTGAGACAGCTGACAAAGCCTGTCTGTGCTTATGTTTTTATGAAATTACGGGAAAGGGCTTACTATGAGATTTAGGGTATGCGATCCATGCAAATAAGTTGGCAATGGGCCAGGAACGCCCTTTCCTGGCTGTGTATCTAAATCTCTTACCCTGGTTCTTGTGTTTATCCCTATTTCCTGGCTCAAAAAAAAATTTTTTTTTCAGAAAGTTTTACAGAGTTGGAGGAAGCAATAAAAGCTCAGCCACCAAGTGAGAGGCTAAGAAGTTGGAAGTCAGTCTACCTACACCAGTGGAAGAGCAGGTAAGACGCTGGCTTCCCTCCCAGCAGCCTCTACAGCTTTGAAGGACTCTGCTCAGGTATAAGTGAACTCTAAGCCTGGGGTAAAGAGGTTTGAAAATGCAGTTACTTTTAAAAATTCTTCTTAAAAACCACCACAATGTTGAAAGACTGCATCTGAGCCTGAGATGGGACATTTGGTCAGACGGAATACAGATTCTATCGGAGCAACAGCTCCCTTAGGGCCACTGCTGGGCTTGTCTGGAGTTAGGCACCAGCCCACAGGGGTCTGAACTGAGCTTGCCGTCCTTTTCGTTAACTTTGTCTGTGTTGACTGGGGACACAATTAAATTCAAGGTGATTGATGGGTTTGCTCAGAGCTGCTCCTCCTGCAGCTAAGGAAGCGACAGGGCTGCCCGTGGGCTCGGGCTGTCTACAGAAGAGGAAAATACAGAAATGACACGGAGGTGGAAAAGTGAAGATGATGAAAGCAACTTACTTCCTAGTTATGCATCTGGACTCGGTTTCAAACTGGATTTCTTTCGTCTGAAAAGACGCAGGCTCATTTGACTCATTTCTTTTTTCATTTTCTTTTTCTTTTTCGTGTGTGTGTGTGTGTGTGTGTGTGTGTGTGTGTGTGTGTGTGTGTGTGCTGGGCATTGAACTCAGGCAGGACATTGCGTTTGCGAGGCAGCGGGCGGCACCGCGGAGCTACGTCCCCCGCCCAACTCACTGACCTCTTAGGGCAAACTCACTGCTTACGTCTCACCAGCAAAATCGGAGCCCTGTACTTTATTACAGAGCTTCCTCTAATAGAATCTCCAGTAAGCGCAAAGTGTGGTTTCCTTGTCTGCGGAGGCATCCACACGACCGCAGAGAAATTTTCCTACATTTGAGAAGCTCCTCCCCTGAATTCCTGGGTGGGCTCTGGCCTCATTCGTCACCTCTTGTCTAAATTCTCCTGTTGTCAGTGCCGTTTTATCCACCTCCTCCACTCCTTCTGTTCCTCCCTTTCCTAGTACGGGCCACAAAAGCAGAAACCTAAAAGTATACTGCAGAAAATATATTTTCTTTGAACAACTCCTTAACTAGCCAACTCGATCTGCTTCCTGACTTCCTAATCCTTATTTCATTGTCATTTTTAGCATGGTCCAGAGCTCTCCACTGTGCACTCACACCTCACTGAGTTCACACTCTCTCACTGTGATGCTCAGGTAGCCCCAGGGTCAGGCACTGCCCTTGCCCGTGTCCCTCCAAGTCCTGCAAGAGTCCCTACTTACGCACACCCAGGAGCAGGTATTTTCATAAAATTTTCAGAAGTAATTGCTATTTGTTTCCCTTCTGGGAAGGCAGCGTAAGAAATTCTGTGGCTCTTCCTTACAGTGAAACGAGCACAGCTGCTGGAGTAGGAAGAAGGAGCACGTTTTAAAACCCCTGGAAACTGTCCAAAGGGCATACATCAAGCAGTGAACCATTTATTCGTGAGGGTCTTTATTCATTATAAGAATTAATTAACGAGTATATATTTGTTCAATTTCTTACATAGACTCAGGATGAAAAAGAAATTCTCTAAATCCTATTCTGTTTTCCATTTCATGTCTTGTGTAAATTTTTTCCATTAAGTGCATTGGTACATTTAAAGCAAACAATCGTCACTTTTATCATTGGGATCTTGTACCTTTGCATAATATGTATTGGTTCTTGTTTTTTTCCCGCACGCCCCTGCCCTCCCTTCACCCCCTTCACCCTTCCTTATTTACAAAGACTTTGTTTCCATTTTTTTCATATGTTTTCTTTCCCCGTATTTCCTTTCCCTTCCCCTTCCCACTTCCCCTTTAGCCATTTTCTGCCTAGTTCACACTCGCAATTATACTATTTGATCTTTATTTACACTTTTAGTTTTTCGGAGAAACTATTCAGTATTTACTAAGTGTGTCCTATTTATTTCACTTAAGTGTATAGCCTCAATGTGCATCCATTTACCTATAAATGTTTCTAGTTTCTCCTTCTTTATGGCTGAGCAGTACTCCATTTCATAGAAATACCACATCTCCAGTTGGTGGGCATTTGGGTTGTTTCCAAGTTTTAGCTATTACGAACTGTGCCACTACAAACATGGGTGCACATATATCACTGTGGTATGATTTTTTAAATTGTTTTGGAAAGATACCCAGCGGAGGGATAACTGGGTCAAATGGAGCCACTAATTCTAGTTGTGTAAATTTTTTAACCAGAATCCAAAAGGAATTTTTTTCACAATAATTTAACTGGAAGGTTTAGGCTTTGAGAGCAGTGGAATATTGATGTCATATCTGTCATATTAACTTTTTAAATGAACTACTTTAATAATCTTTTCAAAAATTCCTAATATGATATGAGTTTTCCCTCATGTATTTTGTTGATGCACACAAAACATTTTGTTCATGCTGGGCTATTTTATGAATCACCTTGAGTGCAAGAGACTAGAGATTCTGACTCACTGCACCTCTGCCCTTGCAGACCAGAGCACTGGACATGGCCTCGGAGACCCACATGCCAGGCCCAGTGTGCCTCATCGAGAACGTGGAAGAACAGCTGACAGTGAATCAGGAAGCTCTGAGGATCCTGTCTGCCCTCCCCCAGCCCGTCGTGGTGGTGGCTATCGTGGGCCTCTACCGCACAGGCAAATCCTACCTGATGAACAAGCTGGCTGGGAAGGAAAAGGGTGAGTGCCGCCAGCAAAGCCCTGCTGAGCCCTCTGTCCACCCACACACTTCTGATCATAATTGAGATTGATACTTGCTGCAATTTCAGTACTCACTCCTAACAGTGATTATGCTTTTATCTCAATTTCAGATACACCTGCAATTAAAACTTAGATATCATCTGGGGCCAGGGATTTAGCTCAGTGGTGCCACCTCCTGCCTGGCAAGCACAGGTTCCTGAGTTCAATTCCCCATAACAGAACAAAACAAAAAAAAAATTAGACATTTTCTTGCAAGCTCAAGGTCCCAATTCAATCCCCAGTACCAAAAAGTAAAAAATAAATAAAACTCACACATATTATCTCACCTGTGTTTTACAGGCTTCTCACTGGGCTCCACGGTGCAGGCTCACACCAAAGGAATCTGGATGTGGTGTGTGCCGCATCCCAGGAAGCCAAATCAGACTCTCGTTCTGCTTGACACCGAGGGCCTGGGAGATGTTGCAAAAGTAAGTACTGAGGATTCCGTTGCGGAGTAGTGCCTTATCTTTGAATAGTCTCTGAAGCACACAGTTTTCACTGAGAATTTGCACTTACTCATATCATATATTTTCATTTTTTTCTTACATGAGACTAAGTTTAGCAACCTAAGATCAACACTGGAAATTTAAACGTTGGGCACTCTATCACTGACTTACCAACCTAGGCCCCTGCCTTTTTCTATTTTTAAAAGCAGGGTCTTTATACATTATGTAGGCTGGCCTTGAACTTGCAACCTTCTGCCTCAGCATCTTATGTGGGTGTAATTACAAGCACAGACCACGAAACCCAGCTCTAAATCTTTTCTAAGTAAATTTTACTGTTAAAAAGAGAAAAAGAGAGAGACAGAGAATTTTTTAAATTTAATTTTTCTTTAAGACCTTAGAATTTCCACAACCTTGACTGTTTTTTCAGTTGTCAATAATTGTAAGAGAGCCCAGTGAGGATCAGTGTAAACTAAACACTAATCAAATGGTGTGTGAAAATACTGTGAAATAGGAAGAAAATGATTAAAGGGGATGAGGGAAGGGGAGGAGAAAGGAAATAAGGGAAAAGAAAAAAATGTGAGAAAAGGAAAAAATGGAAACAGTCTTTGTAACTAGGGAAGAGGGGAGGGGATGAAGAAGGGGCAGGGGTATGGGGAAAACTGAGAACCAAGACATATCATGTAAAGGTACAAGATTCCAATGGTAAATGTAACTGTATCGTTGCTTTAAATGCACTAATAAACTTAATGGGAAAAAAACACTTAACATTCAGTTCCTACAGACATTTTTGTTTGGAACTGGGTCCCTTTTCTACATAATTAGTCTAGAAATCTATCATTATGTGAGCATAATTTTACCACTGCTAATTTTTAAAGTGACATAAGAATGAAAACTACTCCTGACCCAAATGTGTCCTGGCTTCCAGACTGACCCCCAGAACGACTCTTGGATCTTTGCCCTGGCTTTACTTCTGAGCAGCACCTTTGTGTACAACAGCATGGGAATCATTGATAAAGAGGCAATGGACCGACTGCAGTATCTTTTTTGTGGTCCAGAACACCAGGAAAGCAGACAAGAGAACTGTGTTAGTAAACCAGCCACCCAACTCTGGATCCTGGTGAAGCCAGCTCAAAAACAGAACACATGAACAGTAACTTATAGGAAAGAGTATGTATGCTGTTAGGAAAGAGTCATGTATCTACAAAAGAAGGGACATTTATTGGCGGGGCATGGTGGCACATACCTGTAATCCCAGCACTCAGGAGGCTGAGGCAGGAGGATCTCTGTGAGTTCAAGACCAACCTGGGCTACATAGTGAGTTCCAGGTCAGTCTCAACTACATAGCGAGACCCTGTCTCCAAAAAAAAAAAAAAAAGTGACATTTGTGTTAAGAGCAAAGTCAAATGAGGGTTTGGGAATTTGCTGAACAAACATGGCCCGGAGGACGAGTCCTGTTATTTTGTCCAGTTTTCCTTAGCTCCTCAGCTATGTCACAGAGCTGACAGATCTGATCAGAGCAAAATCCTCACCTGATACGGACGAGGTTGAGGATTCAGCTGATTTTGTGAGCTTCTTCCCAGACTTTGTGTGGACACTGAGAGATTTCTGCCTGGAACTGGAGCTAGACGGACAGACCATCTCCGCAGATGCCTACCTGGAGAATTCCCTGAAGCTAAAGCCAGGTAGCGGGGATGTATAATTCATGAAAGGAGCTGTCAAAGCACTAAAAATTGTTACTTTTTACTTTTTTACTTGTACTTTTTTTGCATTAACAATTTTCTATTGCTTCCACTTAGCTGCTCTCAAAAATTAATGTTTAGTATCTGAATTGATAGATTTCATTTAAAAATATCTTCTTTCCTGTTTGAGGAATGTTTATTTTTTATTGGTATGTTGGTTATATGTATTTTTTGCGTAGCTATATCTATCCATCTCTATATATAGAGATGGATAGATACATATATTCATTTTAGATCTCTTCTCCCACACAAATGCCCCTTTCAACCCTTCCCTTGATTTCTTTCCCCACCCCCCAAAAAGTCTACCTCCTTATTTCCTGTCATCTCTCCTTTATTTTATTTTTTGGTATCAGGGATTGAACTCGGGACGCTGCATTTGTGAGACAGACGGCAGAATCACTGAGCTAAATCCCCAACCCTATTTTATTCTTTTTTCTCATTTCATTTTTTTAATACATTTTATTTTACCCCATCCCCCCATCAAGCTATTTTATTCTTTAATTTAGTATATTTTGGATTTCTCATATTATAGAAGCCATGTGATATTTAACTTTCTGTTTCTGGCTTATTTCACCTAATATAAGAGTCTCAAGAGCCATCATTTCCCTGCAAATGACACAAATTCGTTCTTCCTTGTGGCTAAATAAAATTCCATTGTGTATACATGACACATTTTCTTCACCCATCCATCCACAGATGCTCATATCAGCAATGCCTCGTCTTGGTATATTCCTGAAAGAGTTAAAGCCATACTCATGTTTTTAGGAGTACAATTCACAATAGCTAAGCTACCTAGATGTTCATCAGCAGATGAAGACATGCTTCTATCTTCTTTCACCTTCCCTTTTGCTATGATTAGGTTAATTTTATCTTCCTGCTTATGATATGTGCCTCTGTATTTAGTCAACGACTATGAAACACAACAGACACAAATATGTAGGAAATAGATTAAAGAATGGTAAGCCAGGTGTGGTAGCACATGTCTGTAATCACAGCCCTCAGGAGGCTAAGGTAGAAAGATTGCCATGAATTCGAGGCCAGCCTGGACTACATAGCAAGATCCTGTCTCAAAAAAAAAAAAGAAGGAAAAACAAAAAAACACAAACAGTGCTCTAGTCCAAGCGTTAGCAATGTACGGCCCACAGATAAATGATGGCCGATGCAGCCCCGCCTCCTGCTAAAATAAATGCTATTGGAAGAATGTTGCACTCGTTGATTTATTTATTGTCTACAGGTTCTGTCATAATACAGTAACAATTGAGTGCATAGGTAAGAGGCTACCTGGCCTAAAAAGCTGAAAATATATGCTATTTGGCATTTTATCAAAATATTCAAATCCTTACAGGAGGCGAATCTCTGTTTTTATCTTTCTGTAGGTACCAGTCAGAAAGAGAAAAAATTTAATTTGCCTCGACTCTGTATCCGGCAGTTTTTCCCCGAGAAGAAATGTTTTGTCTTCAATAGACCTGCTCAGCAAAAGCAGCTGGCCAAGCTGGAGATGCTGCAGGAGGATGAGCTGGACTCTGAATTTGTGCAGCAAGTTACAGAATTCTGTTCTTATATCTTCAGCTCTTCCAAGATTAAAACTCTTCCAGGAGGCATTGAGGTCAATGGGCCTCGTAAGTACCCTTCCCAGGATTTTCACTTATTAATAAGACAAAAAATAAGAAATAAAATGAACCTTGTTTCAGCCTTGATAACTGCAAACTACTGCTCCTGTTGTGTTAAATTTTAAATGACACCAAACTTTATAATAGATATCATTAATCAAATTTCTTAATGAATTAAAGATAGAAAGGTCAAACGGGTCAAAGGCTTTATTTCTGAAAACTGCTTCATTAAACTGGACCTCATTCTGCAGTATGCTAGCCACTAGGCAACTGTGGCTATTTAAGTTTAAAGGTAAAATGATCTAAATGAAAGAAAATTTTAAAGGGAGATCACATGGCTATATTTCAAGGGCTCACGTGCCCAGGTGGCTAGTCACTATTGCATCAGCGCACGAAGAAAGTTCTCTTGGATAATGTTTATTCTAATCAACCAAATGGTGGTTCCTTTTGATTGGAATCACATCTCTTCTTCCATAAACAGTGATCAAAGGCTCACTGTGGACAGGGATGACAACACAGGCACAAATGGAGTAGACATGGTTTCAGTCCTAATGGTACTTGAGGTTAAAATACATGCAAACATTTAATAAACAGAAGTCTATGTAATTTAGAACCAGGATTCTCGATCCTTGACCTGCATTCATATCACCTGGGGATCCTGTCAAAGACAAAGTTCTAATGCTATACATCTGGCATCGAGATTGAAATGTTACATTTCTAGCATATTTCAGGGTGATGCTGAGAACAGTGATTCTTGAGCAAAACAAGATAACTGACATGCTGAATTACACAGAATAAGAGGTTTTTCTTCACTCTTGTTATAACACGTCTCATCACCTGCTGTCTATATTCAGGACTGGAGACCCTGGTGCTGACCTACCTTGACGCCATCAACAGTGGGGGTCTGCCCTGCATGCAGGACGCAGTCCTAACCTTGGCCCAGATAGAGAACTCAGCTGCAGTGCAAAAGGCCTTGGCCCACTATGACCAGCAGATAGGCCAGAAAGTGCAGCTGCCCACAGACACCCTCCAGGAGCTGCTGGATCTGCACAGGGCCTGTGAGAGGGAGGCCATCGAGATCTTCATCAAACATTCCTTCAAAGATGTTGATCAAATATTTCAAAAGGAATTAGCGGTAATTTTTTCTTATATTTCTATGGATTTAGATCTCTGAAGGCAAAGATCTATGAGGAAATGAGTGTGTATATTGTGAGAATAAAGTATTACTTGGTTTCAAAATTGTGACAGGTACCTATGAATAATCATAATAGGAAGAAACACATATTATTATGGACTCAGAGTTTTGAAGTACTTTTGTCTCATGATTAAGTTATAATCTCCCTCTTAATTTAATTAAATGCATATAATTTGTAATCAGTGTTTCTGATCAAATTATATGCCCATGTTGTCAGATTGATTTGATATTGAAGCCAAAAGCAAAGAAACAGATTTATTTGAGCCAAACTTGTTCGATATACAATCATCAGTCCAATCTGAAAAAGTGAAAGTTTACGTCTGAGGTGTGGCATAGTGCTAGCAATTTGGGCTAGAGATATAGCTCAGTGGTAGAGCCCATATATGCAAGGCACTGGCTAAGTCACCAGAACCAGCAGAAAATAAAAAATAAAAATCTAGCAATCTCTACTCTGAACTTCTACTCCAAGGAGACAGAGACAGTAGTAGAAAGGAGGATCAGTAGGAAGGACATAGTCCTGTTGAGGTCCCCTGTCAGTTTTCGAGGGGGGTCACAGACTCTTTTTCAAAAAGCATTCCCAGAAATTCTGAAATAAGCTAACATCTTTTCCCATTACTCTTTTTCTTTCTTTATATCAAAGGCCCAGCTAGAAAAAAAAAGAGATGACCTGTATAAACAGAATATGAAAGTATCTTCAGATCGTTGTTCAGCTTTACTTCAAGATAGTTTCAGTCCCCTAGAAGAAGAGGTGAAACAAGGTGTTTATTCTAAACCAGGGGGCTACCGTCTCATTATTCAGAAGGTAGAAGACTTGAAGAAAAAGTACCATGCGGAACCCAGGAAGGGGATACAGGTAACTAACATTTATCTTTGCATTCTGGGAAGCGGCTGGGGCTGTTTTAAACACCAATACGACCAAAGTAATTGCTCAGGGATATGCCTTGCTGTCGTCATAACAGTCACACTTTCATTCAGTAACATTTACACAGAGCCGATTACACTAGGCATTTCCTGGATACTCATCAAAGTGCACTCAATTAACAATTCAGTTGTAAATTAAATTATCAGAATAACTACAGAGTGTTACTGTTATCCATTATTATAGCTGGATACTTTTCCACTATAATGGACAGAAAACCTATGACTTCTCCTTAAACAAAAATGATAATTCATCAGATTCAAACTACTTTTAAATGAAAACTGGATGATTTAGTAGATTTAAACTACTTTAAAATGACAAATTTCAAATGATGCCCTCATCTGTCTGTCTTTCCTTGCTCTTATAACCCCACACTTCCCTGCCTTTTTCCTCTCCACTTCCTCCTCTGATCTGCTTTCTTCCTGACAGCTTCCACTCTTCAGCACACTCAGCCCATACAGACCACAGCATCCTTAACTCTCGATCAGTCTCATTCCTGAGACTTCAAAGGACAGAGACTCCTTCCTCAACTAACCTCCCATAAGGAATATTGCTTAGTGGGAGCTCTGTCTGACCAGCCTGAAGAATATGCGCCCATTTCTGTGATGGGGAATCTTGGCCACCAGCAACATTAGAGCCAAGAGGGGCAATTCCTAGAGGATAAAGTGGGAGACAGAAAGAAACAAATTCTCAGAGTCACTCCCTACTGTTAATTCTCCATTCTCTGGTCTCTCAGGCTGAAGAGGTTCTGCAGAAATACTTGCAATCCAAGGAAGGTATGATGAATGCTATTCTACAGACAGACCAGACTCTCACAGAAAAGGAAAAGCAGATTGAAGGTAAGAAGTGAGTCAAGAGGCTAAATGGCCTCAAAAACTCTTAAAAGTTTAAATAATTTGACTAAATCTGGGGTCCTAAAACTAGAAAAAGACAAAGAAAGATGTGCCTCGGTTCCCAACAGCATATCTGAGTAAAGCATATACCAACAGCAGTAACAAGTACGGGTGAAGAAAAATGAGGTAGCGTGGGAACCCCATTCACATTCACATTGTTCTTCTTTCTGTTTCCCTTCAGTGGAACGTGCAAAAGCTGAATCCGCACAGACTACAGTAAAATTGTTGGATGACATGAATAGACAAAAGGACCAGATGATGCAGGAGAAAGAGAAGAGTTATGAGGAACACATCAAACAGTTGACTCAGAAGATGGACATAGATAGGGCCAAGATGATAACAGAGAACGAGAGGATTATAGCTCTTAAACTTCAGGTATTCCACTGCACTACCCTGAGGTCTTGGTTTTCTTTTCCTTTTCCCCAGATCCCAAAAATTTAATGTGGCAAGCAAAACAAAAAGGACCTTGCCTGCTACTTGTACTTTTTGATTCCTCTGTATCTGCCTGACTAGTCCACTGCCCATGTCTGGTCATTAAGTCTTTGCTTGCAATTGTGTTACTTTCAGTCTTTCGTCAGTAGTATATCTTTCAATTAGCAGCTTCCATATTTTAAGCATCATAAAATATGTCTTATCTATATATCAATCTTAAAACTAGATGAAGCAATAATTAATCCATATTTCTTAAGAGAAGAACATAGGGTCAAAAAAGATTAAATAACTTTTATACAGCCATATAGCTGGTAAAATAACTGAGATGTCTTCACTTCACTGTGGAATCTACAGGGATTTTTTTTTTTTCAGTCACACCTGGTCTGATCTTAGCTCTAAGAGATGTTAATGGGCAGGAGGACACCTCACCCCTCATATTTGTGTGACAGTCACTCCCATTTGCTTTTTGTACTTGGGCCCAGTTTGTGTTTAGTTGTGAGTTATGTGCACCATTCAGTACAGGCAGTCTGTGAATCTAATTTTCTAACCTATCTTCTGCCACCCCTGCTAATAATATCTGGTGCCCTTACATCAAATGTCCTAACCTAAGTTGCAGACATTCTATCAGATTTTGAGAATATTTTGACTGATAATTTAGGGTCATCATTATTTTAGGAAATATAATTGAAACTACTTCTTAGCTAAGAACATGCAGAAGAAGTAACTGTACAGCTCAGCTGCCCAAGAATAGGTATGATGAACATTAGAGGTCGAAAAAAAAGAGAAAGAAAATTAGGGATAGAGAAAATTTCACTAGGAAATTAAATACTAAATAATCATTGAAGATGCAAACTAGACCAAATATAGGAATTTATTCAGTGGCATAGTTTATCAAGTTTCTGTCTTTTTTGTTTGTTTGTTTGTTTCTTTGTTTTTAGGAACAGGAACGACTGCTAAGGGAGGGATTCCAGAATGAGAGCAGAAGACTTCACAATGAGATAGAGAATCTCAGGACAAGAATGAAGAAGGGAAAGAAAAAATGTGCCATAAGCTAAGGACCTAAAGAAGAGCAAAATTAAAGATTCATAAAAGGAAACAGGGAAATAGACCTTTTACAAATGGAAAAGAAGCCAAAAGATGGAGCATTGGAGGGAAGGAGGGGAAGAGGATATAAAAAGATCCAAGATGTGTCACATACATGACCAACTACCCATGATGAACATAATCATTATGTGTCAAAAATGTGGATTTAAAAAATTAAAATGAAAGAAGGAGATCTAGAAATGGAAGGAGGGAGGAAGGAGGGTAAAGGAAGTAAAAAGAATCAAGATACATTAAATACATGAACCCACTCCCTAAGATGAACATAAACATTATATACTGCAAACATGTACTAATAAAACCTTAAAATTTTCTAAAGAAAGAATAGACCTTCCTTTCCTATCACCCTTACTCAAGGCATAACACAAGCAATTTTAGAAAACAGAGCAAGTGTCACTTTACTTGGTAATAATTAGTTCTTGCGTGACAATACCAAAAATCTTCTAAGACATTCAGTGCAACAATTGAAATCATGGCCTAGGGTTGCAGCTCACTGGTAGAGCACTTGCCTAGCTGGTGGGAGGTCCTGGGTTCAACTTTAGTTTCCACTTAAAAAAAAATTCAACCTCCTTTAAAGATTGTAAATTGTGCACCAAGGATGCATTTTACCACTGTACCACTACAGAAGGTATCACTTCTGTCATTAAAGTTTTTTCTTCCAGATGACCACCAGTATATAAATGGACACTGAACACAGTCTTAGGTCAAAATCTCAGCACACAGTTGGGCACCAACTGGCCAAGTGTACGATGCATTCTAATGTCAGGGACAGACACCCTCGTTTCTTACTGGAGACAATGTACAGTTCATTATATCAAGGCTTCCCAATCAATGAGCAATAATGGGATTTCTGGGTGCTGGAATGGATAATCCTCACCCACAGCTCCAAGGTAAAGCATGCTTTCTTCTATAGAGGTCTATAGTCTCCATATAATTTCCACAAGGAGATGGATGAAGCCACTATTATGAAAAGGAGTCTGAGCCACAAACAAACAGGCTATGGACTAAGTTTTCCTTCTTGCTAAATTCATCCAGATGCAACATTAAAGAGACACTTTATAATTTTTAAAGAATTAAAAATGGATTACACAGTAATATGATAAAAATTACACATTGTGAATATGTAGTAGCAATGTATAATTTGCAAAGATGGGCTTTAAACGAAGTGGATAATGTGTTTAATGGCACAGTTTACTTAATGATTTGTTCGGAATACTAAAGGATAAAATAGTTAAACAAAATTGAAGTAGGTTCTTCTTTCATGTGAATGCAGATGGTTGGTACAGGGCTCCACAATCTCAGGACTTGGGCTCCTCTTCTCTCATTCTATTGCTCTATACAACTTCGATTTGCAGATTCCACACAGTGTCTTGAAGGCTACAGCCATCAAGGCTGTACTCGAGTCAGGCATGGAAACCAGGCCTGTAATCCTAGCACTCTGGGAAGCTGAGGCAGGAGGATTGAAAGTTTGAGCCCAACCTGGGTAACTTAGCAAACTAAGGAGACCCTGTGTCAAAAATAATAAATATTTTTAATAAGAGCTGGGGATTTAGCTCAGTGCAAAGGCACTGGGTCTCAATCTCCTGTGTTATAATGTATATCTAGATGTCTGCAAAGAGTCTCATGTGTTCCTAGGTGGGGCTTTAGAAGGTGACTGGATTATAGGGGCATAGAGTTGACTTGTTGTTAGGAGGTGGTGCCTAGTCCAAAAAGGTGACTCACTAGGGGCTGGCCCAGAAGGGTACGTCTCCTTTCCCAGCTCCTCCTTGTCCATCTCTGCTCCTGGCTGTCATGAGGTGAGCAGCTTTTCTCCCTCTGTCATACTATTTCTTCTTCGGAGCTGGCCACACAGAGTGAAACATGAGCCAAAATGTTTAACTCGTGGGTGTCAGGTATCAAAGAAACTTACTAAGACACCCAGTACAATCAATCAATCAACAACTGCATTTAGACTGGCAGGGAAACCACAAACCACTGGAAGAGCAGTCTGCTATTCTTTTAAGACATCACACAAGAGCTGCACCTACAGCTTCCATTTATACCCCACCAGACCGACCTAGTCACAATAGAGGCTAAAAATACAGTCTTCATGTACTGTATCCTAAGCAAAAAGTAGTGGTCTATATTAGTCAGCTTTGCCATCACTGGAACACAATACCCAAAAACCACAACTTAAAGGAGGAGAGGCTGAATTTAGTTCACATTTTCAGGGAATTCAGTCCAGATGCCATAGCTCCAAGGCAGGAACATCACGCTGGAAAGGCACAGCCAAGCAAAGCTGCTTAGGTCACAGCGTCTGAGGAGCAGAACATAGGTGCCAGAGGGGAACAGGATGGGGGCCATATATAGTACCCAAGGCCACCCCTCATGACCCACTAAGACACACCCAGAAGTGTGCTTTACTGACCCCCTAGGCATCCTTTCTTGAGTAGAGTTGCCATATGATTAACAGTGACAGGGGCTTTATTCCTTCTTGAGAGGGGAAAGGAATCCTAATGAGTGGAGAATAACCAGCAGTTCATCCTAATGATTCTCTTTCCTATACTTACTAAAACCGGAAGTAATTTGGCTTATAAACTACCCTCACTAAAAATCAATCAATTAATTAAATAAGCTACACTTAATGATTTCTGTGTGCTGTGTTTCAGGATATATTTTGTCCCAGGTTGCATTCGATCTGTGGCCTTCCCGGTTTGACATCATTGTTGACATTTTCTGTCTTTCTTTGGCTTCTTTTTAGTTTTGTTTTAGTGTAAAATGTTTAAAGTGAAGGAAGTTGTGTCACTTAAGGCAGGGAGGCAGGCCTCAAGTTGGACACACCTGTATGATGAGTTGGAAAAGGATTTATCTACATAAGGGACATATTGTTTTGGTAGTCATAAAACAAATAGGCAGAAGGGACACAAGTAATACACCTACTAGCTTGTCCTTTCAGACAGTTGCTTATAGTCCATTGCCCACCATCAGGGCTTATTCAACTGCTGCTTTCCTTTCCAGAGTCATTTTTGGAAAGGCTGCAACCTGATCATTCACTTCCGAGTTAAATTCCTCTTTTGAAAGACCATTTCCCCTCCATGCTGATTACAGTCTCTACTACCACCGCCGACACTTGCTTCTTTCATTGCATTTTCCCTCTGGGCGAGGGAGACAGCTCAGCGGAAGGAAGAAGAGTGTGTGTTTATGATGGGAAAGTTTCTGGGTTCCATTTTTAGAAAAGCCCAAAGAGGAAGGAAGAAAGGAAGAAAAAGGGAAGGGAGGGAGGGAGGGAAGGAAGCACTGCATATCATAGCATTTTCCACATTTACCTGTTTATTGCCTCTTTCGCCCTACAAGAATGTAAGATTTAAGATATTTTCAGCAGAGCATGATGCCTCAGTATCGTGCTCAGGACATAATTCAGATTTGTTTTTGTTTTTGTTTTTGAGGCAAGTTCTCACTATGTTACCCACTGTGGCCTTAAACTCACAATGCTCCTTAGTCACTTTCCATCTCTGCGACAAAATACCTGACACCCACAACTAAAAGGGAGAGAGGTTTATTTGGCACACGACATTCCCCAGTAAGTTCAGTCCGAAATTGGCTGGTTCCAGAGGAGAAATGAAATGGTGCAGAGGTCTTGCTGAAAACATGTGATCGTCCCTTGTAGGCCACGGCCCCAGTCACCCACCTCCAATGAGGCCCCACCTCCTAAAAGCACATTCAGCTTCTGAAGTCATCAATGGATGAGTCCACCAAGGAGTATAGCGCCCTCATGATCCAGTCACCTCTAAACCATAACAATTTCCCAAGTACATAGGACGTCAAGGCTGTGTCACCATGACCGGCTTCCACTTTGTGTAAGGTGAGATAAAGAAAAGCAGCCCCCAGCCCTGGATACTTCCCCTCATGTTGTCGGGAACTGGCCATGATGTTACCCCATTAAAACTTTTCACAATCACCCCAGCATGGTGGTTCACGACTGTAATCCCAGCTACTAAGGAGGTTGAGGCAGAAGAATGGCAGGTTCGAGGCCCCAGCACACAATTTAGGGAGACCCTGTCTCAGAATAAAATAGAAAAAGGGCTGTGGATTCAGCTGAGTGCGCCTGGTTTCAATCTCCACTATCACAAAAATAAAATAAAACATAGCAAAGTCAAATAAAGTCATTCTTGAACATGATGAAGCGACAAAATCATTTAATAATCTTACATAAAGACAGGGGAAAAGGTCTCTGTGCCAACCACAGCATGTTTCTTCAAAATTTGGTTTTTCTCTTTCCTCTAGGTCTAAACAACAATGCTAATACTGCTCTCACTCCCTTTATCCTCTCATCTCTGTAAATTACCAAAGTGAATCACTCGAATTCTTATGAGAAACAGGCCATTCACTAACACCGCCCTCCCCAAAGGAGTATGTAAGAGCCCGACTGAACTAGAGCGACTCCATGTTGACCAGCAAACGACCTAGAGACTGTAGCTCCCCCCATCCCTTATAGGATAACTAATGATTAATTGTGAATTGTTAGGTAACTGCTTTGAAGTAGCTGGGAAACTAAATGGAAACTGTAGTGAACACAGAGACCCAACACAAATCACGCCACTCTTTACTTGCCTGTAGTTGAATGTTCTGAACTTTATAATCTAAATTGTAAATGGAAAAATGGATAATTGATCTGCTGGTCATTAGTACGTGACAGTCAAGTATATGCTTGATGACCACTAGCTCAGAACAACTGATTCTTTGCCTCTGTCCTCTTCCTGTAAGTTTTAAGTGTACCCCCCCCAGCCCTGTATAAAATGGCCTCTGTTTCTGAGCTGGCCTCCTCTCTGAGCTACTTGGCTTGGGGAGTGCCGTCTGGCCAGACTGATAAAGGTCTATTTGCCAACTTGCCTGGTGTGTTCCTTCCTGGGTGACTCTCGCTGTCCGACAAGCTCCTGGAGCCTCGCTGAGCTTCTGAGCCCAGCATCGTGGAAGCCTCTTGGCTGTTCACGCTCCAGGAGTAAAAGTGAGACTTAAGTCTTACAAGTGAAGCTCGGTGTTCTTACTCTTCCTCCATTTTGTCCTTACTTTTGAGACATCGCATATCTTCCTCCTTCAGTCTTGCATCCCGCCCTCATTCACAGTTCTTTGATTGAACTCACTTTGCTGTTCAGCGAGGAAAGGTGTCTGTCCACTTTGTCCCCTCCGTCACAGGTTGCAAACACTTGCGCAAACCCCTTTCACACTCAATGCAGGAACCTAAATGATCCCAACTCACGCTTTGTCCGGCCCGTGACTGCAGAGCCTGTCTTCCGTTCTAGACCAGCCCTTGTCGAATAATCCACCCCGGCCCTTGGCACACATCCAATCGAGCCTCAGGTTTAAATTCCATAGCCTTGTGTTTGTCTTTGTTTCCATCATTTTTCATTTTCCCGTATTAATTCCATTCCCTTCTTTTCTTTCCCCCACCCCTCCCGTTTCCCCTTCCTCTTTGTCCTAATTCACATTGTCTGTGATACCTTTTAGTCCTTATTTACACTTTCAGCTTCTGACACTAGAGAAACTATTCGGTATTGGCACGCGAGTGTCCTGTTTATACCACTTAAGAGTAAAGACTTTGTAGATAGGGAGGGAGGGGTTGAAGGGCGGTCAGGAGAATGGGGAAAAAATAAGAACCAAGGTTGATTATGTAAAGGTACAAATTTTCAACAACGAATGTCATTGCATATACATTAAATGTACCAATAAAATTAATTTTAAAATCCATTTAAAAAAAATAATTTTAGAAATGGAAAAAATTAAAAATAAAAATAAATAAATTCCATAGCCAATCGTTATCCACCTCCACGCCGCCCCCCACCCCGTCTCAGATTCGGAACTTCCACCCTCTCCCCGACTTTCTCAATTTCACTCCACAGCCAGTCGGTACCCAGACTCTAGAGCCAATCCCCGGCCACATCCGGGCCCGCCTCCTTACTACCTGAGGCTCTACCCAATCCGCGAACCCTACCTAGCCTCCCAGCCAATCAGCATCTAGAGCTAACAGTCAATCTCGTCGAGGCTATGCCCCTAGGACCAAATCACGCCCCCAAGCCCGGGAGGGACCGGAGCCCCCTGGAAACCAGGTAGGTGTGCGTGGGGTCCTGCGTGTCCAGGTGCAGGGGGATTGCGGCCCTGGTGTGCGGAGTTGGCGGACTTTGCGGGACGAAACACGAGGCGGAGGCCACCGAAGCCCGTGAAAAAGCCGGATCTGCACGTTCATCAGCCTAGGTGTCCGGAGCTGAGAAACCATCTGGCAGATGGAGCCCGGGGCCTGACACCTGGCTGATGTAGAGGGCGGGTGCAGAGGGTCCACTTTGGGTTTAAACGTTGCGTCGCCGAGATCACTGACCTACCAGAACGTCTTGCCCGTTTGCTTTTACGCGTTTAGAAAGCAGACTGTGATCGCTGACTCCAGTTCATTTCTTAGCCGAGCTCCTGATCTTGCAAAAGGAAGCAAAGGCTGTTAACCAGCCGAGCGAGGTCTGGAGGTGTAGGAGGTGTAGTTTAGTGGTAGAGAGTTAACCTATCACGTGTAAGGCCCTGCGTTCAAAACCCAGCACCCCGGGAAGGAGAGATGCAATTTTACAAAGCCGCATTTCACCAGTTTCTGGTTGATGCCCTTTAATCTTGTGCCGACTAACTTTGGCTGATTCTTTCTACTTCTGCTCTGATGACATGCCTTTGAAGTTTGTTCTTCCCACTGTACTTTCCCCAACCAGCACCTAGTTCTCCCCCTACGTACCCTCTTTGGTAATCAGTGAACCGGCTGGGAGTGAACTAACAGGTACGACAAGAAGGAAAAATAGTCTACTAGGCCAGACCTTTCTGACAGTCTGAGTTGTCCACTAGCACTAGCCCTTTTGCAGCCACCTTGGTTAATCCTCCTTGAGCTTGTACTTAACCCATGTTCTTAACTTGGGCAAATTATTCCTAACTACCTCATATGCACATGTACTGCATATGCAAAATGTTTATAATGTGGTAATTTGAAAGCAAGTCCACAACGTTAATCTTTGGATTTTTCAATTTGAAAAGTCTTTAGATTTCTTTTGACTCCTTTCTCTACCTTTGAGTTTTGGATTCTGCTTCCAGCAGTTTGAGATTCTGCCTTCTCAGGTTCAGATCACCCCAGAATCTGCCAGACACGCCTTCTGAATATTTGTCTTAAAGGGCCTACTCCAGAGATGGGACAGCTCAGTTTAATTTCCCATTGGCCATGTGCCTTTGAACATGAAGTTTATGTGCCACATGCCATGATTAGACTGACTGGAACACCAGGATTGACATTTGCCTCATTGTCTTAACCAACCATCCTTGCGGGGAGAAACTAGAAAAGTGCAGAGAAAGTACAGCTTAGAGTTTTTCCAATTTTCCATGACACCCCAATTTATCAATTTATTTAGTTTATTGATGAATATATATATATATACATACATAAAATATATACATGCACTATTGCATTAGAAAATACTATTCAAAGCAGTTTTCTTTAAAATGCAGAAGAAAAAGCTTATTTCAAATTCCTTATGATGAATGTTACCATTATGTATATCTAAAATGTACCAATGAATGCTTTGCTTCAAAAAAATTTGAAAATTTTTTAAAATGTCTTGCTTCAAAGGTTCTCAGTGCTATGGATTTGCCCCTTGATGAGGGCAGGAGATAAAGAGGTGAAGTAAGGCGTGTTACTTCCAGGAAGGAGCACCCTGGAGTTCACTCTCAAAGCAGTGCCTCCCAAAAAGGGCTTTGACTGGGGGCAGTTAGCTGTGTTCACGTAGGAAGAGTTCTTCCTGACTGGTCCAAGCAGGCTCATTTCTGAGCACCTGAAGCAGGGGGAACACTTCAGGGCTGGGAGTCCGTATTATGAGGAGGTCACTGGAGGTCCCCTAAAGATGATGATCCCCCAGTGATGTTGCCTGTTACATGCAGTTTTCTCTGGAGGAATTTATTTCAAACAAACAAACCAGCTTTTCTCCTCTTGATGTGAAAAGAACCTCCAAACACCTAAAAAAAATCTGTTTAATCAGTCTGCTTAGAGCTGATTTTTGTTTTAGTGGTTCTTTGTTTTTGTAGTTCTGGAAATTGAACCCACACTGACCTACATCCCCAGCCTTTTTTATTTCTTATTTTGAGACAGGGTCACACTAAATCACCAAGTGGGACTCAAATTCACCATCTGCCAGAGCCCTGCTTAGATTGCTTTACTTTTTCTGGTACCGGGGATCGAACTCGGGTCCTTGAGCTAGCAAGGCAGGTGGCAGAACCACTGAGCTAAATCCCAGGCCCAACCTGCTTAGATTTCTTAGGTTTCCACCAAATTGCCCCGAGTTCCTTCCATAAGATTACCTATTGAGGGAGTGAAGAATCCTAGGATTCTTCGGTTTGAAGAATCCTAGGATTTAATGGTGGATGGGAGGAAGACAGGAGGAAAATGAAGGCTACAATTAATGTGAAAGCCAGGGGAATAAGGGTGTGTCTGAGAGGAGTCAGGGATTGATCAGCAGTATTTTAGGCTTTGTGGAGATCAAAATTGACTTAACCAGCAAACTTCCTCTGGAAGTAATGGATAGAAAAATAGATTGTACCAGCTTGAGCAAAAGGAGACAGCTATAAAATGAGTTACAGTACAAGGAAAAGAAGCTCTGTTGCTTGTTTTTTGTTATCTTGAGATCAGACCATTCTGGGGTAATGGCAAGGTACAAGGTGTGATTTTTAGGAAAGAGGGACCTAGGCCAAATGGAGGACAGGAGCAATGGATGAGGGAGTGACAGTTGTTTGATGGGTCTGGCTGAAGGCAGCACAATGACCTAGGACGATCCCAGTACTTGGGGATGAGAAGAAAACTTTCCTAACGATTCCCTAATGCCTGATAGGGAGTCAGCACAGGTCAGGAGATAGATGAGTGGAGCAGAAGCGAGAAGTTACAGTTGGGTAGTAGCAAGTTAGACAGTAGGAAAGAGTTTGCTAATAACAGTGGCAACTGTGGTTAGTAATGATGAAAACTTGAAAATTGCTGAGAGCTGGTTTCCTGTATTTTTTGCCACAAATAACTGGAAAATATTTCAGGTAGTGTAAAAACAGTATATGTGGAGTTTATAAGAATAAAAACCAACACGAAGGAAGACAGAAGTGGCAGCTTCGGGGAACCATGAGAACTGAAGTAGAAGCAACTCTGAAAGCAAAGATAAAATGGAATTGGCAGACAGTGATGAGCCTGTTCCAAAGGACACAGTGGAAGGTTGGGAAAGTGGATGAGAAATGAAGTCAGGTGAGTTCCTAGGAGGAACAGTGTGTTTTGCAGGGGAGTATTATAGGAGATAGACACAGGAGGCGACTGAATTTAGCTTTTGGGATTTCCAAAAGGCAATGAACAGATTCCCTGGCAACTCCCAAAGAACATAGATGCTGGTTGCTAAGGGCATGGCTCAGGCAGAGTGGGGTGAAACCTCCCAGACACCATGGTCTGAGCTCAAGTGTGCCCGGCCAGTGACTCAGCAGTAACTGAGATTGGCTGTGAGCCAGGAATTCATTGACTGGGCTTCCAAGTGCAGAAGTTAGTGACTTTGTCCAAAGATAGAAACCTTTTGTACACAACAAGAGCAGACACCAGGCCTCCTTTTCCTCCTAGTCTATCTCAAGAAGTTAAAAGATATTTCTCTTACTTGACTACTTGTAAGAAAGCACTGTTCTTATACTGTGTTTAGATTATGCTGAATTTAAAAGGGCGTAAGACTATTTACAAGAAGTTACTCTCTCACAAAAGGATTCTTCTTAAATGTAGCCCACTTATCTCCACTGATTTCCACAGTGGCTGCACCAGTCTGCACTCCCACCAACAATGGAGAAGGGTTCCTTTCTCCCCACAACCCCACCAGCATTTGTTATTGTGTGATTTCTTGATAGCAGCCATTCTTTCTGGGGTGGAGTGGAATCTCAGTGTTGTTTTCATCTGCATCTCTCAAATGACCAGTGATGTGGAACATTTCTTCATATATTTATTTGCTGTTGTTACTTCTTTGAGAAATGTCTGTTCATTTCAAATGGCCATTTTTGAATTGGGTCTTTATATTTAGGGGGTCTGATTTTTTTTTTTTTTTGAGTTCTTTATATATTCTAGATAGTAGACGTTTGTCTGAAGAACAGCTGGTAAAATTTTTTTCCTACACTGTAGGTTATCTCTTAGCTCTGTTGGTGGTTTTTCTTGCAGTGCAGGAGCTTTTTAATAAGATAGATTCTAGTTGTTGATTCTTTGTGCTAGTTCCCACGCTACTGAGGATTTGTTCATAAAGTCTAAACTAAAAGTATAAATAAGGATCAAATTGTATAATTGATATTGTGTAAGAGGAAGGAAAGGTCTAAAGGAGTAGGGGAAGAGGGAGGGGTAAGGGAAAAGTAAAATAGGATAAAAAAAAATATGAGAAAAGCCAAAAAAAAAAAAAGGAAACAAAGTCTTTGTAAATAGGGAAGGGGGGAGGAGGCAAAGGGAGGGC